GTCTGAGATATTACACTTGTTCTGTGAGCTTCAGTACACGGTTGCTACTGTCTTCGCCTGAAGACAACGCCCGGTCATTATAGCTGTATTTGGTGGAACTTTCAGTCCAGAAACGGCAATAACTACTGGGTGTTCTATTCTGGTGAACATGAAGACGGTAGTTTATGGCTGAATGGAAATGTAGGCATCTCTTGCTCAATCAACTACAGAGCCTTGACTCAGAGGAGCCCTGTGCTTTGCAATGCCAGTGAAATGATTCTGTGTATTCCTCGCTATGGCTGCATTTGCATCCATGTGCACAATCTTCTTCTTCTTCTTCTTTTCTGTTTTGTGTCCCCTTCCCATTCAAGGGTGTAGCCCTTAGGGCCTGAACATTTCTGAGCATATTCATTTGATTCCAAACTCATAATCTGTCTACTGAAGTTGCATGTGTGTGCATTCAGCCACATGGTCTGGGTAGGGGCATTCTATCCTTGTACCTCTTTCCTGGATCTTTGTGTTCCTTTGCGCTCTTACTGTCTTCCCCCAAACAGAACATACGGTCAGTATCGCTGAGTCGAGACTGAAAGTTGTTCCAAGTAAAACTATAGTAACCATATGTTCTATTTGGGGGAAGACGGTAGTTTATACTTTCCTTATACCCCTTTCCCGCATGCTTGTGTTCCCTTTTGGTCCTGCCTTCTTCACCCAAAAAGTTTGCCTGGTCAATATAGGTGTATAGCCTTGTATTTGGGGCAATTTTCATTGAACACAGCTATAAGGACTGGGCATTCTACTCGGGAGCCAGAGCTTTGTAATGTACGGAACTGCACGCGTGCTTTTGCAATTCAGAGATGGTCAATGGTTGAATGTAGCCGTTCCTGCACATGCCCAGCTGTACCCGACAGTTTCAGGTGTGTACGGTCTGGCTTGGTGTGGATGGGTCGGTATGGGCAGGTACTGTGATCAGGGGCATACGGCTGGCTGCCGTGTAAGTGTTTGGCTCGCGCCACCCAAACCCCCACCGAACTAGTCTTCTTCACTCTGCTGTGAACCCCAACCATGGTTACAATTTGAGTGGACGTTTATTTTTCGGAGATACCGAGCTCCAACTGGAAGAAAGGTAACGGGCCAGACCCCTTCTCTCGGCCCTAGGCTGCCCGAATCCTTGCAGTTCATCAATTGGCCATGTGGGAAAATTAACCATGAGCTTCAGCCAATTGTCACATTTCGGACTTATGAAATGTGGCATGGCGGCCAAAGCACCTGTCCACATCTCTCCACCAGGTGGAGATCGCCACAACCGCCCTCTCCTCCTCTTCCCCCACCCAGGAGCAGCCATCACCGGACAGCGTGCAACAATCAAGTGGGGCCAGCACCACACACGATGCAGTAAGAGCAGGTACATGGGAGACTCTCACAGGGGTTACAGGTAGGGTGCATGGCTGTGACTACCCCTATGTAGAGATGCACGGATGTAGGTATGGGTACAGGTAAGAAGATATTCATCATGGGCACAGGGCAAGTACAGGTAACTGGTTTTCCGAGGTGCTTCCTGAGTCGGGTATAGGTAATTCTTCAGCCAAGCAGGAGTAGGCATGGGTGACGAAAGCCCGCATGGGCTGCGTGCGAGTGCTCAAAAAATGAGCAGATGATGTCCACTTTGCAGACATGGGTGTGGGTGCTTTCAACAAACCTACCCATGCAGAACCTCGTGCTTGACGAAGGCTTTGTGCATGACATTGTGTACTGCCCACCTCTTTCTGAAGCAGTGGGCCAAATTGTATGCAGCACTGTCGCCCTACCTCTTCACTTAAAAAGAACTGCTGAAATCACTTATCCATCCATCCATTACCTGCACGTCCTTGGCAGCTTTGCCACTAAATCATTCTTTCGCAATTCACTACGGTAACCTTAGGAGAAGGTGGAGCAGTCCTTTGGGACATCCGTCAAAATTGGAACGCCACAGAGAAGATTAGCATGGCCCCTGCGCAAGGATGACACACATAAATCGAGAAATGGTCTTAAAAAAAAGAAAAAAAAAGGAGAAGGTGGAGGAGAAAGATCTGCAATCATTAGTCCACCCTTACTTTTCGCTTTCTTAGCCCATGAACTTAGCAAGGCAATCAGTTCACATTCTAGTTCATCAAGGGAATCACCCGCTGAGACGGAACACAAAACTTTTTCTGGGTGGTCTGGGTGATGGGCCAAAGAAGGGTCATCCTCTACCATGCGAGCTGGAGGGTTGAAAGGGGTTTGTTGCACCAACTTACCTACACCCTCCGGCTCAGTAGGAGCAGATGCTACCCCTACTGGCTGCTCCCTTTTGGGTTCCGGATGAGAGGGCACCATGCAATGTTGTGCCCCTCTGTGTTATTCTTCAGGCACTGGCGATTATCCATCATTTCCTGCCATTCCTTCTGGGTAAGGCCCATTTTTTCCCAAGGCCTACCAGAAGCGATGTCATGATGTGCTGGGAAGGAGCGTGGCCTTTTCTTCCTGAATCCTCCAATGTTGGTGCCTCCCTTGTTCGCCACCATGGCGGTGACGTCACCATTTCTCGACTCACCGCCTCTACTAGTTCCACCCTCGCTTTCTTCGAGGGGCCGCATTTCTGTGGTCTCGTCGTCATCAAAAACGACAAGCGTGTGGTCTTGTTGTTTCTGCCTCCAAAAAAATTGTTTCCTGTTCCCACTAGATTGCCCTCTCCTTACAACAGTATCGGACGTCCATTTAACCTGCGATTTTCATCTCGTTTCCGATTCCTTTTCTTTGTCTTCTTCCTCTTCCTCGGCCACAATTTGTTTCTTGCCCTTGATCACATTTGTCACAGTCCGCAACTCAGTGGTGACATTATCTATTTTCGTTTCAAGGACATCAAGATACAATGTCATGTGTTCAACGAGTGTGGCCAAGTCAATTTCCGATCCAATCTTAAATTTTGGTTTAATTTCTTCCACCTTCTTTACTTGTTGTTCTTTCGCTCTTTGTTGCTGAACATAGGCTTCCTTCTTCTTCTTTTTGGCTTCCAAAGCATCCTGTAGTTGCTGGATTGTGACCTCCATAATTTCTTCATTTAACTCTGTTTGTTCCCGGTTCTCACCAGTTTCTGACTTTTCTTCTTTTTTCACGTTCCTGCCCAATTGTTGCAGCTGGCTGGCGACAAATTCATCGAGGCGTAGATGCACCTCGTTGATCACTTTCTGCACTGATCTGCTCACCTCCATCATCAGAACAGCAGTGTCAGCCTTACTTAGTTCGTCCTCTGCTGCTCGCAGGTCCAACTGGGTGCGTACGTGTTGCTCTGCCTCTGAACCGGCGTCATGTAGTTCATTAACCAGCCGTTGTAATTTGTTCATCATTAGTTTCCGGTGGGCATCTGTGTATCCACGGGTCTTAATTTCTTCTTCTTCATCAGCTAAGAATATGAGAGGGATCGGGAAGAAGAAAAATGGAGTAAACTGAGTCATAATGGACCTCAGAAACCATCTCTAAAGGAATGCCATATCAGCGGGTGAGTATGCCGCACAATAAACTTAGAGAGACATATGTAAATTCCACGGCCTCGCCAATAACGAATTTCAAGAGAAAGAAATTTTAACAAAAATTAATGGATCATAATTTCCTAACTTCTGAGACTAATTTTTCTTTAAGGTTGACATTAGCAGCGCTCTTTAACAACCTGCTCAGTTAATCCTCTGAAGCAAGAGTAATCAATGCTGGCAGGCTTTTTCAAATACTTTCCTGTTTTTTTTTTCTGTTTTTCCCTGATTGTTTTCCGAATCATTCTGTGTAAGGGACATTGGACCCATTTTTCAGCAGGTGATGCTTCCCACCAATAGATGGAGCCTCTCCCCAAGTGCTAGTGGTGTTTGCTTTTACCAGCACCACTAGCACCGGAGGGAGTCCTTTAAAATATATATATATCGTCAAATAGAACTGCCCGGTAAACCGTAGGCAGAGAGGGAGAAGAGGACAACGAACGAGGGGCTGTGACAAACTGTTTCGTCGGAGTTTCACCGACTCATCAGGAGGCTGAACCCTCAACAGTCTGTAGAATCCCCTCACTGATTACA